CATATTTGTATTTTGGGCTCAATTTCGTGGGCCTCATACGTGGAGCTGTAAGCCACCAAAAAAGCCCATTGGGAAGCTAATGGGAATCAGAGGAGAGAGAGAACTACTGAATAAGAGAAGCGAAGGAGAGAGAAAAAAGAAAAAAAGTACAATTTTCAATTCTTATTTTTGTTTTTTAAAAAAATTGTTTGATTAATTTTAAACAAATCGGCAAAATCAAAATTAATTTTAGAGTTTAATTTGATAAAATTGAAGGTTTAAACCAAATCCCATTAATTAAATCCATTTTTGAAAAAATATGACACGTTTAAATCATACCAATATGACACATCTAAATTTATTTCATAAATTTTCTCTTAAAATTGTTTGGCCTCACATCATTCTTAAATAATATTTATGTAGTTGTTACGATTAATTTTAAACTTTTTCTTTTAGTTAATGAATAAAATTAAGATGAAAATTATCAATTCGAATATAACTTAATAGATAAGACATTTTCTCCTATCTTAAAGATCGATTATCTGATAATTCACTCTTACAATTGTTAAATAGAGAAAGAATAAGAACAAAAAATTGTTAAAAAATATTTTTGGTCCATTACTTCTATTAAAATAACGATTAAGTTCCAAAGTTTAGTTTAATGTTAACTATTTACTTCAATTAAAACAAAATACTTTTCAAATCTTTGGATTTTAGACTTCCAACTTCTATTTTTTGCCTCTTTGATTCTTCAAATTTCAAAATCTTGATTTTAAAATCACTTCAATTTCCTCTCTTTAATTTATAAAATATATATAAAGTTTAAATCTTACCGAAATTTAAAAACTATTGTGAAATAAAAGAAATTAAAATAATTCTCACAAGCCATCAGGTAAACTTCCAATTTTTCTAACTCAATAGAAATCTTGAATATTAAAATGAGAACAAGTTGACCTTTATTGTATTTTTCCTTCTCAATATTTTTCTATTTGATGTTCCTTCATTCCTTTCATCGAATATAATAACGCAAATTCCACATAATAAATTCTAATATACAGCGTCAAGAAATATACATACTTGTTTTAAATTCATACGATCCATTAAAAAATAACTCAATTAACTTAAACTTAAGCATACGCAAATAACTTTAAGCTAAATTACTATAAAAAAAAAAATCCTCCACACAATAACAATTTTTTTTTTCTAACTTCTGGATGCAGGAGGGTTGGAACTTGGATCCTGCCATTGTGCCAACACTCGAAGGTAAAAAGAAAAAAAAACATTGTTACCTAAACTTTACCGTGCATTTCACCAAACAACACCCTAATACAAAAAACTTAGGAAATTTGGTAGATTTTGATGGACAACATGATACAAAAGAGCACAACTCACCTACTCCACACCACTTTTGAAAGGGATAGAGCAATAATTAAAACTGGAAAATAATTAAAAAAAAATTAAAGGAAGAAGAACTTTGAGAAAATGCATGCAACTAAAACTCTCTCTCTCTCTCTCTCTCTCTCTCTCTCTCTCTCTCTAAACCCACCAATTTCTTGCTTTTTATTTATTTATTTATTTATTTTTGGTTGTTGGGTATTTTGTATATTAGCTTGGACTTGAAGCAAATCATTTGCCATCCCCATCTCACCTACCCTCTTCTAACTACTTCTCTACCTCCTCAAAATTTCCACCCTTTCTAATTAATCCATTAATTTAATTATATCTAAAATTTCAAATATTATTCAACTCATATATATGAGTTTTATATACTTTTCTATTAGCCACTTGCTTGTTAGGTAAATGAGAAAAAAAAAATGATGTGTCTATAAATCATGATTATATTAAATAACTTATGAAAATTTAAGATATAAAACAAAAAGCTTGAAAGTTGATGAGGAAATGGAATGAGTATGATGTTTCATTTGACGATTATAAATAAGAAATTTTGCTTAAAGCGTGAATTTTATACCGTCTTTTAAAAAAATAGATCTTATATCTAGCTATTAATCATTACTTTGTTTTGATTTAGGTTAAGTAATCTTTTTTCTCCTTTTTTGAACTTAATTTAAGTTTATTGGATTAAAACTGTTGGTCACTCATACATCAAGTTTTGTTCATCTCTGAAATAGATTAATATTAGTAAATATTTTATCGAAATGAATTCTCTAATGGTACTTGCTACCGAAATATATTCTGACTACCGAAAGATTTTGTCAAGAGATCTCACAAATGTTTACTCGCTTCAAGTGTGGAACATGAATGAACCAAAAAAAAAATTCACTAAATGAGTTGAGAGCAAGTGTACTTTCAGAGGAGGTTTGTAGCTTAAACTTTCGTCATCTTGAAAGTTTAATCGGGTTTCTCTTAAAGCAAAATAGTGACTTTTCCATCTTTAATGCTGGGATAAATTCCTAATATTCTTAGTTCTAAAATAATTTTACACGGGGAAGAGACCTCCTTCTAAAAAGAAAGAAGGGGGAAATGCACCCTAATAAGAGCTTTTCAATTTAAAGTTAAATAATATTTATCCTATATGAATTCCATATATAATTGTATTTTTTTAATTGATTCTTTTAATTTAAACTTTGTCATGTCGTCATGTAGTGGTCAACTCTACATAATAAGTTTCAAAATAATCGATGACATCAAACTATATATGAAATGATTAGGCACTGAATTATATAACTAATTGACTGAAAAATGGGTTAAACCGGGATAATTGGACTCCAAAATAACTTTCAATTTGTAAATATTAATTAATAATGCATAAATGATTTTATTATTTCAAATGGCTAAAATGTTAACATCTACAATTTTATAAAATTTCATAACCTAATTGTCCATTTGGAATGGTCCAAAATAATGAAAATATATTCACGAAAATAATTAGCTCATAGGTTAAATTTGTATAATAAAAAGTTACAGTGTGGAAAAAAAAAATATATATATATATACTAATCAAGTCAACATGTGCGTAGTTCAACAGTAATTGACATCTATCTCTGGTCATGAGTTCGAATCTCTCACTCCATTTAGAAAAAAAAAGAGTTTACTAATCCAAACTTAATATCAAATTATGGGTTAGATAATCAGCACCTAATTAACTATATAAACCACAAATTTAGGCTCATGAAAATCACACTTTATTCAATATATATTAATTATAAAAATCATAAACCCACAAAACTAATGTGAAAGGTGATTTAGTCATTGCACTATTTACTTATGTCTAACAAAATTAAGGTTAAAGGTGATTTTATTATAATTGACGGAGTTAAAAAGGATACATTTAAAAATTATGTAAAGTCGAATAAAGTAAATTTATAAAAAGAGTTCTAATTTAGCCTTGAAAAGAAAGTCTTCTTTTATTCATAATTATATGATAAAATTTTTAATTCTCTATTTATTTATTATTTTTCTTTGTGAAGTGACGAAAAAAAGGGAAAGCCACCATAATCCTACAAAGATAAGAAAGAATTTGGGATATGAGTAAAAGGTAATTTCCACCTAAAATGTGAGGGACACAGTCGTAATTTCCATGTTCCAGACCTTGACGTGGCAGCACGAAATGGTAATTGATATTTCCAACTTCTCGCGTTCAAGGCGCCTCCACCAACCACATATCAGCTCCACTAGCCACGTGTTCTGTTAGTACAACTACTGGGCCCCACCACATATATGGCTTTCGACAATTGTCTCTTTATATAAAATTAATATTTTATTTCCCAAAAGAACCAAATAAATTAATTATAATCAGTAATCACCTCACTTTTTCTGGAACCAAAAATATGTATTTCTTTTTTTTTTTTTATAGAAAATATGCTGTATTAATTAAAGAAAGTCACCACGAGGGCTATCCAAAATATAGAAACCCTCTCTAGCAACATAAAGAAGTCGGGTGGGAAGTAGCACGACTTTAAGGCCTTTTGCTCTTTTTTTTTCTCCTAGAAGTCGGAAGTTTAGAGAGATTGACACTTGAAGCGGTTCGATAAGCTGCATCGTTTGAATGTCTCCTCACATGCAAAAACACAATCTAGTAGAAATTGTTAGAAAACTTGCAAACGTCCTCCATCTAGATGTCATATTTATGAAGATTTTCAATCTTTCCCTTTGATTAGATTGATGGTTTGTGAGGAATTTGATTCAATTGGTACAAATTCCTCTCAAGGATCGCCAAAACTTTAGTGTTTCAAGAGTCATAGTACTAGCATGCCTCAATTTTCCTTGTCATAGCGGCAAGAATTTCTCCTTTTTTTTGTTTCTATATAAATCACCCCAATACCTATTATAAAGATGGCTTCTTTCAGTCAACAACCACATTTATTTTTACCCATCATAAAGGAGTTGCAATTTCCATATCGTTTTGTTTGATGATGGGGGTAATTTCGAGCCTTGTGCATTGTGTCACCCTTCACTATTTCCTTCATGTAGGTTTAGTGTCCATTCACAACTTATCCTTATCAAGGAATTTGTTTAAAAGTATATTAATTTCATTATTGTCATCCTAAATCACCTCACTACTAATTCTGAATAATTCTAACTCCTTTGCAAATAAATACTCCGTCAAAAGAACGAATTTGTCTTGAAGAAACTGTTGAAAATCCAAACACTGAAAGACTAAGGAGAATAATTTTCTATAAAATTTTGCACGCTTGAATCTAAGTAAGAATATATATTTTTTTATGATTTTTCCACCTCTCCTTTAATATTTGAAAACTCATACATTATAATTATTTCTTCTTTTAATCTAAAAATTATAAAACCAAACTATTATACGTTAGGACTTACGTAAACTTCTCAATTTACTAATCACTTCAACCATAAGTACACGACAAATTATCAATTGGTAAGGAATCCAACCAATAACCAAAAAGAAGAAAAATAGAAAAGCTCCTTAGTGTGGACCCCACATTCCCACCAATAGTTTCCAGTTTCCACCAACCCTCGACCCGTTCCTTATGACGTTGACCCGATAATGGACGGTTCAACCGGGCCGGCGTCGCTCTATATAGCAGGCCTCGACTTTCCCCCACTTGTCGCCGCAAATACACGCAGATCCCACTGGAGCTCCAGCGAAGAAAGGTAAAAAAAGAAAGCGAAGGAAATTCCGATTGATCTCCGGCAATGGCCTTCACCAACAACGGACAGGAAGACGGGAACCAAGCCGGAAGGCACCAGGAAGTCGGCCACAAGAGCCTCTTGCAGAGCGATGCTCTGTATCAGGTGATCAAATATAATCTTCTCCCCAATCGGCAAATCAAGCAATCTCAGAAACTACTTTTTCTTCCTCCGATCACTGAAATTTTCTAGTGCGATTTTCCGCAGTACATTCTGGAGACCAGCGTTTATCCGAGGGAGCCGGAATCGATGAAGGAGTTGCGAGAATTGACGGCCAAACATCCGTGGTTAGTTTTCTGATTATAAATCTGACTCTTAATTAATTATCTGTTCTGATGATACCTCGAGATTGGCGATTCTGTTGTTCGTGATGAAATTAATCGGAAATCGGAAACAGGAACATCATGACGACGTCGGCAGACGAAGGACAGTTCTTAAACATGCTTTTGAAGTTAATCAACGCGAAGAAAACGATGGAGATCGGAGTTTACACTGGATACTCGCTTCTTGCTACAGCCCTAGCTCTTCCCGAAGACGGACAGGTCTGTAGATTCTTCGAATCGCTCTCGGAAGAACAGAAACTGTGAGTTTTCTGAGTGATTTTCCTGGAAAATTTGTGGTTGCAGATTCTGGCTATGGATATTAATAGAGAAAATTACGAGCTCGGTTTGCCGGTTATTGAGAAAGCCGGCGTCGCCCACAAGATCGAGTTCAAGGAAGGCCCTGCTCTCCCTGTTCTTGACGAGATGGTAGCAGATGTAAGAAATTTTTCATTACTATATTTTTTCTATATCTCTAAACTAAGATTTAAAATTCTAAATTAAAAAAAAAATGGTTAGATTTATTTTGATGGCAAAATGCGGGAGATACTATTCCTAATGATGACAAATATGTAGCGAAAAATGACTAAAATTGTAAATCTTTTTTATATCACAACAAATCCATAAATATTTGCTAGGAATGTCTCTGAAAAAAAGAAGGAAAAAAAAAACACAAATCATAAAAATCTAATCGTAAGTAAAATATAATATTAAAATAGACAGTTTAAAAAGCTTAAAATCTTAAAAGGGAAAATGATATAAACAAAAAAAGCAGTAATAATAATAATAATATAAATAATCTTTAAATCCTGAAAATGTAAAGGTTTGGTTTGAGATTGTTGTAGCCATGGAAATAATTGTTGTCAAAATTTGGCTTTTAGAAAAATCATAAATTTTCATTTCAAACATGAAAAAATAGATTATAGTTTGTTTGTCAATACTAAATTGTTGTAATTTAGTCCTAATGAGAAATGTTTACTGCTTCAATTATATATAATCTACTTAATTTCTAAATCTTTTATAAACTAATTATTTATATTTTTATATATTTGAATCGTAAATTACGTTCTATTTACTTTAAATTATCTTTTAAAATATTAAAAAAGGAAAAAGTAGTGTTGAAACTGTTTTATCAAATTTACCAATCTTGATTTGAGCTACATGACAATTACTACTCTCCTTTTTTGACATGTTGAAATTGTTTTAAAACATTAATTTTAAAAACCTAAACCTTAATTAACGCTGCTAGTTTTAAATCTGTCCCAAAATAATTATACTATAATAAATAACTACGCCCTAAGGCAAAAAAAAAATAATAATAATAAAATAATTTGAGTTGATGGGTGATTGTGTGCGGCGCACCACAGGGGAAGAATCATGGAAGCTACGACTTCATATTCGTGGACGCTGATAAGGACAACTACATAAACTACCACAAGAGGCTGATCGATCTGGTGAAAGTTGGAGGAGTGATCGGGTACGACAACACCCTATGGAACGGTTCGGTGGTCGCCCCACCCGACGCGCCCATGCGTAAGTACGTGAGGTATTACAGGGACTTCGTTTTGGAGCTCAACAAGGCCCTCGCTGCTGACCCTAGGATCGAGCTCTGCATGCTCCCCGTCGGCGATGGCATCACTCTCTGCCGTCGGATCAACTGAACCACACCCAATCTTCCCTGCACTCCCACCCACACGATTGCTCCTTGTTTCATTTTTTTTCTTCCAATTTCAGTTTCCTCTCCGAGTTTCCATATCCAACATTTTTATCGATTATTATATTTGAAGCATTAACTTCGATTGCGTATAATCAGCAAAATAAACAATATATATAATTTTAGTTCCTAAATCTTAATCCTCCTTTGATAAATATTGGATTTTTTGTTGGGTCAAAAATTTGTTTTTTTCTTTAATTTTAACTTAGATTTTGAATTAATAAATAAAAATAGAGGTGGAGGACGGGAAGGAGCATTTCTCAACTTAATTTTAAAAATAGAGTAATTATGACCTAAAATTTAAAGGTGATTTATATCAACATGTAAATCCCCTGTCTATAATTGATTTGAGCTCAACGTATTAGGATGAATATTTGAACCTTCCACTTTTCGATCGAAAATATATCTTAATCAATTGATCGTACTTGCTCATATAAAAACTTTAATAAAAGAAAGAGGAGAATTAGTTAATAGATCAAAAGAAAATATTACTCGAAAATTTTGAGTATTCCACGTCATAGATTTTAAACAATTGACAAATGAGTCATGTTTTTTTTTAATATACAAATGAGTCATGTACTCCTATTTATTAGACAAGTTGATTTTAAAAATAATACAACTAAATAAATATTTTTTAAAAATTTAGAATCGAATTAAAAATGAAGATATATTCTCGGAGTGGGCTGATATTTGATATGATAGTGCCCCACCACCAAACCCACCAAACCAAGACCGGAAATGTAAAATAAAATATTCATGTTTACCTTTTAAAAAAATATTATTCCATAAGTCTCTCGTTAATATATTATCTAATAAGTTTAAATATGGAACTTTAAAATTTCCTCTCATTTTAACTTATGACCTATCAAAATTTCTATCGTAGTCCCCAACTATTTTTCAAAAAAATCTATGTTTGGTCTTTGATGCAGTTCGTTAGACAATTATTTAACAAATGAATGGTGACAGTTTTAGACGCATAATATAAACTTGTTAGCCATATTTTTTAAACTACAAATAAAAATTAACAATAAAGAGTACATTTGACTATAGTTTAATGGTGAAGACATTTACATTTTTTATGAGGTTGAAGGTTTGATCCATCACCCTAATCTGGATAGCTAAAATATTTGTCATATTTATTAATATAGCAATAATTTTTAAATTTTGCAAAAATAGTAAAAGTTTTGAAATCTGATTATAGAATTTTTGTTACTCCAAATTTACTTTTCTAAATTTTCAAGTATATCAAATCAGGTATATTATTATAATTGATTTACCTTTACATCGAGGTAAATCAATTAACTGATATACCTAGATGTACTTCATACTAGACATACTTTTATTACTGATATCACATCTTTACTAGACATACTTTGCATACCTAATATATAAATCAAGGTATATCATATATACCTTGATATATATAGCAAGTTGTCATTCTTTGAACCATTTCATTTGGGTTAGAGAAAAATTTTCTATGATGTTATCTAAAATTTATAATTTGGAGTAAAACTGTACTTCAACTCATAACATATTAACATTCAAGTATATCATTGATATATCGACATTCATATCAAGTATATCAACATTCAAATTAGGTATACCATCGTGTATATATCAGTAATTAAATAAGATATATCGATGATCTATTAAAGGCTCAATAATGTATCAATAGTATATCAAGATATGTATATATCAATAATTAAATAAAATATAGCAATGGTAAATTAAAACCTAAATTGTATGACTTTGATGTATATTAATGGTAATCAGAAACTAAATAATATGACTTTGAGATATATCAATGGTATATTATACACTGAATAGTATGACTATAATGTATATCATAAACTAAATGGTATGACTATGAAATATATCAAAACGAAAGAGATTTGAAGATAAATTGGACTTTTTCTGTATTCTGAACGAGTTGGGTCTCCAAATTTTGTTATTTTTACAAAATTGAGATGTAGTTACTAATTGTGAAAATTTTTTGAGTGCCCCTTATTAAACTAAAAAAAGTTCAAATCAAATTATAAAACGAAACATTGGCTATTATGTTTGAAAATCAAACTAGTTCCAAAAAATAATACCACCTCCAAACTAATTGAAAGAATAAGGAGAAAACTTTGCTCCTTACCGTTCAGGAGTACAATGCTCCTTATCCTCACGTGTTCCTATAGAAAAATGACAAGTACTAACTATTCCTTTATTTATCAAAATCTCTTCTAGTATTTCTAAAAAGTGTTGACGATTCATTCTCCCATTTTTCTCTCTCGCACCATCTTACCTCCTTTTTCTCAGGTATCCCATTGTCCTCAACGTCTCCTTCGGCTGATACTTCTATTTCTCTCTTCGGGATTCCAAAATTTCATAAAGAAAATAATTTCATGGCCCCACAAACTTTGCTCATCAAAAGTGTAGGAGCAATGATTTTTAGTTTTTAGTTTTTCTTATTTTTAGTTTTTAGTCTTTGAGTTTTTGTTTTTTAACCATATATTTGATAACCTTTTTTTTGTTTTTTATTTTTAAAAAACAGAAAACCAATATAACTATTTTTAGTTTTCTATTTTCTAAAAGATAGAAAATTAAAAATACATATTAGAGAAAGAAAATTATATGTATAGTATAGATAACAATGGTGTGAGTGCAAGTGAGGATTTCTTCCCCATTCTCGTGTTCGTGAAAATTTTTAATCCCTATCTCCACCTCGTTCTTCGGTTTGAGAGATGTTCTCAAGAAAATTATCAGTTTTATAATTGTTTATAATTATTTTTAGAATTTAAGTATAAAAGAAGTGTAATAAATATATAATAATTATTTTAAAAAATGGAATCGAGACGGGGACAGGGTCGGGACATGCATTTCTTATTTTTTGGGCCCAACCTTGCGGAAATTTTTGCTATCTGCTAATGTAGAGACATGAAAATACAAAGTTTAAACAGATGTAAATAAACTTTTGGAAGATAAATTTTAGAGAGATAAATAAAAAGATTTAGAAAGAAAATAGTGAAAGAAAAGTTAAAGACAAAATGAGAAAAATTTTAGAGAAAAAAAAGTAAAATCGAGAGAAAAAGATATGTTAAAGGAGAAAAAGAAATTATAAAGAAAGAGAAAAATTATATTGGAAATAAATTTAGAAATAAAAACAATATTCAAAATATAATTTTTAAATAAATACAGAGATAAATAAAAGTTACAGTAAAAGAAAATTGAACGATAAAATAACATATAATTTTCAGAGAAAAAAATAGATTAGGAAGAGAAATAAAAGTTATAAAAGACGAAATTTTAGAAAGAAAAAAGTTAGAAAAACATTAAATTTTTAAAAGGAGAAATGAAACTGATCTGTTAGAAAAAAAGACAGAAAATTTTAGAGAGAGACGAATAATAATAAATATTCAAAATATGAAAATTTTAGAAAGAGAAAAATAAATTTTGTAGAAATAAATTTAGAAAAAAATATTAGAACGAGAAATAAATTTTTTTAGAGATAAAATTGAGAAAGAAAAAAATTGAGTATTAAAAGAAAAAATCAAATTTTAAAAAATAAAAATTTGTTTTTGAAAACTACTTGTTTTTTTTTATTTACATAAAATCTCAAAATAGTTTTTAAAAAACAAAAAACAGAAAATCAAATTGGTTATCAAACAACTCTATTTCTAAAAAAAAAAGTTAAAAACCAAAAACAAAAATCAAAAAACAAAATTGAAATAGTTATCAAACGGGCCTAAATGAACATTATTTTTTTGAATTAGTTTGATTTTTAACGATATTAAAAGAGGAAAAGAAAAAGCTCCAATGGTATTTACCACAAACACCTCTACTAGTGATTGCTAAGATGGGCCCTTTTGAAGGATCCGAAGAGCAGAAAAGTTAGGCTTTTGCTAAGGCCGGACTGGGCCGTACTAAATTCAGTTACATTCGGCCCTTTGGGCCGATTTTAAGATGGGCCTGCATAGTTCTTGGAGAAATTTGATCTGATAGGTTGATTTTCTATTATATACATATATCCTTTTTTTTGGGCATTACATATATATCTTTGATAATTACATATATGACCTTTTTTAAAATGATTATTGATTGTTGATAGACGTAATAGCCGGTTATTAGGATGTTTTCTTGTTTGATTAATCAAGTTTTTTTTAAGATACTGATTAATCAAAATATTGATTGTGTTATACTTATTTTCCTAAATTTATCAGTTTTGTTTTTTTTGTAATGTTTTATAATAATTGTACTAAAACGTCAATGTCTTTATCATTTCAACTTAATGATTATTGTAGTTAAGATACATATTCTCCGACCAAAAAATTGTGAGTTCAAATCTCCGTCTTTAAATATTATATACTAAAAAAAAAGATAATGATTATTCGATCTATCTACGAAGAGTAGCTTAGGTTTTTGTTTTTAAAAAAAAGGTAACACAAATAGTGTCAATAACTCAAAAGTCAAAGTATTAATAACTTTTTATTTTTATTTTTATAAATCAAAATTTGAATCCCACACCCACAGTAATGTTTTGGATTTTAAAAAAGCACACCCAAAAGATGATATTTCAAGAATGTTTGGGAGTTGGTCTGCACTGGGGAGGAGCACATCGATTTAAAAATACTTTTCTATTTTAAGTTTTAAAAAAAATATGTACCAAAACTGATTTAGCAAACTAATTAAGTAATTCTTTTCTACACATTATTGGATAAAAAATAAAAAAAATAAAAAAACACAACTACAGAATTAAATAATAAAAAAATATTTTTTTTTAATTTGATCATCTCTATCTTTTCGGACGACTGTTTTAGAAACTTTTAGATTTTTGCAGATTTTATTTTAATTCCGATTTTAACCCTTATTTATTACATTTATTTATTTTTTTTTAAATATAAAAGATTTAATTACATAAATTATTTTCATAATCCTTTAATTATCGTGGCCCATACTAATTTTCAATACAAATCTCTCAATTCACCCCTTCAAAACCTTAATTTACTCCTTCAAAGATTTATTTTCCCTTAATTCACCCTACATTGGTGCTCAATCTTCAAAGACAATTTAAAATTACAGAAACATCTTTTAAAGTCTCAATAAACATATATCCGCATATTAAAAAAAAATATTCTAAATCACAGTATAT